GTGAAAAACAAGGTGATTGTGTAAATTAGAATCAAAATTAATTCAATTAGAATCACTTATCGAATGAAAAACCGACAAGCGAAAATTCAAATGTTCTCTAATGAATAGAATGACAGAAAATCGATTCACACGGATGTGAGTGATTTCCGTGAAGAGGAAAAGTTTTTCATTTGACTAGCTGAACACTCGTCAATCATTTTTCTACTGAAGTATACTTCAGAAAGCCATGAAAAAGGAGAATTTTATAGCGCAATTGTTTTACAAGAAGATAATCTATTTCCACTACTAATATCAGTTAATATTATTCCATTAAATTTCGATAAACTTTACACTAAACGAATAATCTTCGAACGAAGAAAATCGTAATGAAGAGGATGTGCTGTGTTCCGATGAGATTGGAGGAATAATGAGATAATTCATGTGAAGCTATGCACAGGTTCGGTAGGACCAGAGATATTTGTAAGAATTCGATCGAGTTTTTGCAATGGAATCGGCAGATGTATCTCAATCCAACACGGTGTCGACGTGATCGTTTGTCGTTTATATTGCTCACCCCAGCCTTTCACGAAACTGATACGCATATGGCACATCCTCTGTAACAGAAATTCAATTGTGTCGAATTCTTTGTTGCGTTCGATCAGTGGAATGAATCACGCTCACTACCATAAAAAGAAGGCTGCACTGTGTTTTCTTTTTCTCAGTAGTACTGTTCTCTAGTGAGCTATGATTACCACGGGGATCAATTCCATCCGAAGTTGATAATGAGGTCGCAAATGCAGATTTCTGTGCTACTCTTGATACAGGTTACCCTCGAAAATCGTCGACTTGTCATTAGAATTATAGGATGTAAACGATTACCTGTAGTGAGTAAACAGCATGGAAACCTTGAGTTGCGGTCTGTTCGAGTAGTGCCTCGAATGATTTGTTGTCGAACAACTGCATTGTGTGACCTGAATGTCAACAATGATCCATTTCTTATATATTTTTTGATATCCATTTTATATCCATTTTATCGAAGAATTATATCCATTTTATCACTGCTGCTTTGAGGTAAAATAACTAATCGAATGCATCGTTTTCGAAGTGATTCTAGATAACGCTAATGCTATATTTCATCATATCGTCCAAAGAACTCATAAATTTTCCACTAATCAATCGTAATATCTGATGAATCATCCATAAAACTTCCAGAATTGCACGGTGCGTCATCAAAAAAAAATCAAACGATTCGATATGAAACAGCGTAACTCATCGCATTGGAACGATATAAATTCTCTCACCCTCATTTATCGCGAATTTGCCTCAAATTCTCACATCACAAAAAAAAGATAAGAACTACGCACCAGGTGGCAATCGATACACTGTTGATGGATGATCGTGCGACTGCAGTGCATGAATTGGACTTTGTACAAATATTGGCGCTTCACTCAAACATTCCGCATAGACATCTTCATCTCGACGGAATATCTTCACACCTCTACCTAGAATACGAAACAGTCATCGTATAAACCAGTGAACTTGGAAGCGAACAAATTTCAGTGGTTTTAGTTGCACGTGAACGAACCAATCTGTCGTCTCGCATTGATAACACCCGGATTGCGATTTACGTTTGCGAGTGCACCCAAACAGAATCGCTCGGCTTCTGACGGTGCACAGAATCCATCCACAATGACGTGTGATCGACCACCTTTGAATGGTTCACCGATCTTAATTCATTAAA